AAGACTCCTTCTTGATCATTCCTGGGAATGGTACCTTTCTTTCCCCCTAAAGCAAATACACTTCATTCTCATTGGCACATCCTTCAGCTATTAACATGGTCATAGAGTGGCCTTAAAGAGTCAGACTTAATTCTGGTTAGCTTTTATAAAAATGTCCTTGTCTCTCATCTTAACCGATCCTTCTGGATGAAGGATCTGAATGGCTAGCCATCACATCTACATTAGAACTGTTGGGGGATCAGCAGTTAGCGTAATGGCTATGTTGCTGGACTCCTATGTAGTTAAACGCGGTTCAAGCCCCAGACCTGGTGGATTGAACTCACGCTGGGCATGTGTGCGTGCATGCCCAAGGTCTCGAGAGGTGAATGGAGGAGAAAGGATTGCGGTGTGGCTATCCCCCCTGGAGGGTGATTTCCCGCTTTCTGTCTCTCTGTCTCTCTCTTTCTGTCAAGCGCACATGCCCTAAAGCAAAAACCTCTTAAAACAAACAAACAAACAAACAAACAAACAAACACCTGTTGGAGGAGGTGGGCAAGGGAAACACCCTTTTATTACAGGATAAGCTTTGGAAGTTGCACCGTTTATCTTCCTCTACATTCTTTGGCCATAATTTAATCTCAGGGTCACAACAAGTTGCAAGAAAAGCTAAGGAAGGGGATCTTATATTCGTATGGAAGAAGTGGAAAATGCTCATTTATAAAATATTTTTCTTATTACTAGAAAAGATCATGAAGACTTAGCAGAAGAGAAACTGGAGTTTATGCAGGACGTGAAGTATTTTGGTGTGTCTGCTGAATTAATAAAGGTAAATTGAGTTTGAGCTTGAGCTGCAATTTTGTCTATTGTAGCCCATGTTATCTATTTCATATTCTCACCTTTCATTCTCACATAAAATAATCTCTCTTGGGACCAGCAGTTAGCGTAATGGCTATGTCGCTGGACTCCCACGTAGTCGACTGCAGTTCGAGTCCCGGACCCGGTGGCTTAAACTCACGCCGGGCGCGTGTGCGTGCGTGCCCAAGATCCCAAGAGGAGAATGGAGGAGAAGGGATTGCGGCGTGGCCACCCCCCCTGGGGGGTGATTTCCTGCTTTCTGTCTCTCTGTCTCTCTCTGTCTGTCTGGCGAGCACACACGCCCTATAGCAAAAATCTCTCCAAAAATAAATAAATAAATAAATAATCTCTCTTTTTGCTTCCATGTCCTCATCAAGATGTCTGGGATTTCAAAACATGGATGTGTGAGAGGACAATCAGTTTATCTCAACTGAATTCTCTGGAGACATAGATTAAAGTTTCTTTTAATATGTATTTTTTAAAAATATGTAGTGCAGGAAGAAGACATTTCTATAACATACAAATTGGTGATCATTTGGGAAATATATTTTTGGATCTCATATCCCCTGAGAGTTCTTCATAATAGTTTTCCTTTAGGGCACGGAAAGCATAAATATTCCATGGAATCACAAATCCATTAATTGTCTATGGCTCTGTGGATAATATTTAAGGAAAGATTGAATACATAAATAAGCAGGTTGTAGTAAAGAGTAAATTCAACCAACTTATCTAATTGTAATGAAATAGCTCATGAAGCCATTTTCAAGATTTGTAGGTGAAAACCATTTATGGGTGAGAAGAAAACAACAATACATTGTGAGGTAATTGAGAGGAACCGAGTATCAGTGGTGCTTGGTTCAGCATGATTAGAGTAATTACATTGACTCACAGATCAGTTTATCTGAATAATTCTTGTGTATAAGACATTTCTGATGTTTAAGATAAATGTTTGCATTTTAAATTTTTTGTCAGGTTGCTTTTTTAACTCAAAAGTAAAAAATATTATTTTTAAAAGTTGACACTATTTCTTGTTCGATAAATTATAATTCACATTTGCTCCGTCTTTACCATTAAAAGTTTTTTTCTCCAACCTTTTAGATTTTGATTTAGGAAAAAATGATAAAAGAAGACAAATGACATGCAATGAGATTAAAAATGGAAATTTTTTTATTTTTAAACTTACTGAATATTCACATTATTTAACACAATGAGATTAAATTACATTCATAGGCCTGACTTTGAATATTTTATAATGTATTTTATTATTTATTTCATGGTGTACTTTGGGGGATAATTGTGTATGATTGTTGATTTACACAAAGTAATGATCTAACATGATAAAATTCCAAATTAGGATTTTAGATATATGAATTCCTACAACTGCTATCATTGGGGTAATTTGTGCAAATAAATACAATTTTATAAGAATTTGCTTCACAATTCTCTGAATGTGAAAGGAGTTTCCAGGAAAAATAAGCCATTTATTTTTATCATGTATGTCTAAGTTTTTAACATATCTGCTTTTCATGACAGAATGGAATAGCTACTAATTATTTTTAATGAATTCATACATTCTCTTTCCATTGTTTCAGTTCAGTCTGTTCCATTGCTTAGGCATACCTTGTCTTATTTCTTTATCTCCCTTTAAGATCTATCTAGAATATGAATATCCTCTTGCAAATTTCTCTAGATACTACTGAAATCAATCTTTTTTGTTCTTATTAGTTTATTTTTATTTATGTGTATGCCTTCTTAATAATAATATATATTTTAGAGGTTGAAAATAATTATCTTAATATCCTGAAAATAGAAAGTGTTTTATATTATGCCATGACTATCGCAAAAAACTTGTTATTTTATGTGTTTGATGATGAAAATACCAAGGAAAGAAATTTAGAGATATTATTAATATTTTCTATTAATAAATACACTATAACCTGGCATATATTGCTTGTACAAAATTTTGTACTTTTAAGAGGACTCCTTTGAAAATACTTTCAGTCTTAATTCTAGATCTCCAATTTACTAGCTGTGCAAACCAGAACAATGTGTTTCTTAATCTCGTATTTCACTTAACACATGCTAGATGTCTAAGAGAGCTTCCTATGAATATATCTTTAATTGTATGTTAGCAATATATTTAAATATCCTTCCAGTAGGGAGAAACATGCCTGCTAATAGTTGTGTCAACATTGTTCTGTAATTTATTATGCATTTGAAGTTCACCAAGTATTTTCTTTTCTAGGTCATGCTGAACTCAAAATTTTTCACATTTTCAATATTAGAGAACAAAAATGTAAGTATAAAGAATAGAAGCAGATGGAAAGAAATTTCATCCTAGCAGGTTTGTGAGATGACCCAGAATTGAAGGTTGTCTTGTTTGTCTTCCTGCTTCTCACCTATTTGCTAAGCCTCACTGGCAATCTGATCATCACCACACTCACCCTGGTGGACACTCACCTTAAGATTTCCATGTACTTTTTCCTTCGGAATTTTTCCTTAGAAATTTCCTACACTACCACATGCATCCCTAAATTGCTATCATGGCAACCGGAGACAAAACTATTATTATAGTTGTGCCATTCAAGTGTTTTTTGCCTTTATTCTGTGGGCATCTGAATTTTACTTGATGGCGGCCATTCTTTTACAAATTAACTTACCAATTTACATATTTTTATTTTTTTTTTTTTACCCCTCAAGCTCATTATCCTACCTCTAAAATCCTCATTATTGCTCTAGGTTTCCATATACCTTTGTCTTTATTTCTCCCACTCTTACAGTTTCCTAAACTCCTATTTACATATTTCTCTCTGCTTGTACATCTTTATAGTTCACTTTCCACTTTACCTGATCCATTCTCAGAACAAAAACGTAAGGGAAAATTGAGAAGGACTGCTGTATACACCAAAATCACTACTCTGTTCCAGTCAATTTGGTTTTGGGGGTACAGTGTGGAAAAGGTAGAGGGTTACAAAGAGTTTGAGATGATGGAAATACTAATGAGAATAGCAAATGAAATATTCTATGCTTTATTTTAACTTATTTGACATGGGATCACATTAACTGAAAATAATTGAGACAAGAATAAGGCATTAGAGTTTGGTTAGTTGAGTAAATGATAGATGTAAACTAGTACTGCTTATTGGTGATGGCTAGGAATGTGTATGTGTGTGTGTAAAGCAAAATTTGGATGATTGCAATTCTTTTTTTTTTTTTTTTTTTTAGTTGTTTTTGCTATAGGGCGGGGGAGACGGACAGAGTCAGAGAGACAGAAAGGGAGAAATCACCCCCCAGAGGGGGTGGCCACGCCGCAATCCCTTCTCCTTCATTCTCCTCTCGGATCTTGGGCACGCACGCATGCACATGCGCCCGATGTGAGTTTAAGCCACCGGGTCCAGGACTCGAACTGCGATTGACTACGTGGGAGTCCAGCGACATAGCCATTATGCTAACTGCTGGTCCTGGATGATTGCAATTCTTTTTTTTATATGTTTTAATTACATTTTAATACATTCAATTACATTATTTAGCTTATAAGGTTATCATTTCAATATATAAACATTTCTCTCCATTCGAGTTGGTCAAAATATAACAACACTACCTCCCTGTCTCGACAATGCTGTCTTCGTATCTCTCTTCCAAATGTTCTTCCCCAGGCCCCACTCCTCCACACATACCACATCTGGCATTCACATCCACCTCTTGTGTTTGTACTTCCTTTAGCCCATCAGTTTCAGTTATAGAGGGCGGACATTCGGTATATATTAAGTGGGGATTGCAATCCTAATAACAACTGTCATTTTGGAAACTTCTTTAATTTTATTTAATTAAACCTCTTTAACAGGAAGTCCTGGCATGTCATTCCAACACAAGTAGCATCACATAAGAAAAATCATTTTTCTGCTTTAAGTTTCTTTAATTCGCTCTAGTTTATTCACATAGAATTAATGAACTATGGCTAACATTAAGTAGATTTTTCTTGGATAGGACTGCAAGTTAAAGACAACTCTATCCAGAAACATTGGGAATACAAACTATGGTTCTTCCTGACATAACCATCTTTAAAACAAGAATGAGCACTCTTTTGCTCTATCTGAACATTATTTTCCTAACTTTACCTTAAACTCTTATTATCATTGCTATATTTTTTAAAAGAAATTGTTATTCCTTATTCTCTTCAGACTTGGTAAAAGTCAGAGGATCACGATGGGAAACCATACTAAACTGACACTGTTCATCCTAGCAGGTTTGACAGATGACCCAGAATTGAAGGTTGTCTTGTTTGTCTTCCTGCTTCTCACCTATTTGCTAAGCATTACTGGCAATCTGATCATCATCACACTCACCCTGGTGGATACTCACCTTAAGACTCCCATGTACTTTTTCCTTCGGAATTTTTCCTTCTTAGAAATTTCTTACACTACTACATGCATCCCTAAATTGCTAGCTATCATGGCAACTGGGGACAAAACCATTTCGTATAATAGTTGTGTCACTCAAGTGTTTTTTGCCTTTCTTCTGGGGGCATCTGAGTTCTACTTGCTGGCAGCCATGTCCTATGACCGCTATGTGGCCATCTGTAAGCCCCTGCACTACACGACCATCATGAGCAACAAAGTCTGCATCCAACTCGTCCTCACTTGTTGGTTTGCCGGATTCTTTGTCATCTTTCCACCACTCCTCTTAGGCCTAGATCTCGACTTCTGTGGCTCCAATGTTGTTGATCATTTCTACTGTGACACCACTCCCCTTTTGCAGATTTCCTGCTCAGACATACACCTTCTTGAGATGATGGGATTCATCTCAGCATTGGTCACACTCTTGGTTACACTGGTTATGGTGATAATATCATATACATATATCACTATGGCCATTCTAAAAATCCCTTCAACCAGTCAGAGGAAAAAGGCTTTTTCCACATGTTCTTCTCACATGATTGTGATATCCATTTCTTACGGCAGCTGCATCTTCATGTATGTTCAACCGTCAGTCAAACAAAAATCATCTTTTTCCAAGGGGATTGCAGTGCTCAATACCTCTGTTGCTCCACTTTTGAACCCTTTTATCTATAGTTTGAGGAACCAACAAGTGAAAAAGGCTTTCGTGAATATTATATATAGAATTGTCTCTTTATCAAAGAAATAAATATTCTATTTGCATCATGTAAATAAGTTGAAGAAAGGAGTCTCTAATAATGTTGTATGTACTGGGTGCTTCTAATACACAGTTTTCTCCTTTTTTCGCTTTAATATTAATCATGTCCTTTCAATTTTTTTTATAAAAACCTTTGATGTGAAGAAACTAATTTTTTTAATTCTATTTTAAATATGATTATTTTCTTCATATTGCTTCCTTTCCCTTTATATAGCTGAAAGAAATTGAGCTAATTATTTCAATTTTTTTCTTTAATGAATTATATATGACTTTAAAATATTGTTTCTCATAAATTATAATTTATGATGTAATGCAAAGTTGATTATACTGTCTTTTATGATCATCATGAAACTAATATTTATGTATATTTTTTGTCATACTACCAATTTATGGGCTATATTCTATTTAAAGAAATCAACAGAAACTTGTAGCACTGATCTATCAGTGTCACTTGCCTTTGAAAAAATATATCTATCTACATCTGTATCTATAGTTTGAAGTATGTTTTAACGAAACTAATAATTTAGTTTTATTTGAGAAAATTACTATTCACAATAGTTCCAACTCTGGTTAAAATATATTAACTTACTGGGACCAGCAGTTTGCATAATGGCTCTGTCGCTGGACTCCCATGTAGTCGACTACAGTTCGCATCCCGGACCCGGTGGCTTAAAACTCACGCCGGACATGTGTGTGTGCGTGCCCAAGATCCCAAGAGGAGAATGGAGGAGAAGGAATTGCGACGTGGCCATCCTCCCGGTGGGGTGATTTCTCGCTTTCTGTCTCTCTGTCTCTCTCTGTCTGTCTGGCAAGCACACGTGCCCTATAGCAAAAACCGCTCCAAAAAAAAATATATGTAAATGAACTTACTGTTTATCTTAAATTTAATAATAAAATAATTAATTCATTTTTTATACCCTTTTAACTCTATTTTCCTAACTTGCAATAATTCTGAAGTTAAACTGGAAAAGATTTGTGAATGATTATTTTAAAAAAGCAATGCTCACTTAATGTATTTATTCTTTTTACAAATTATTTCTCTAATACACAGACATATATATATATATAAATAAATTATATGTATATGCATAATGCCTATCTACAGATCGACATAGATATTGACACATAAATATATAAGTATGTCTCCTATTAGTGAAACTAGAACAGTGGAAGAAGCGAATGCTTTTATTAAGTAGATTTTTCTCACTATATGTCAGAATCTGTTAGAGATTTCCATGTAATTTTTAAAAAAACTAAATATAGTAGAAAATAATTTAACAGATGTATATTCTGTTTCATGATTTTTAAAATAAACTTTTATACTTGGCTATACTGTTCTTTCTCATTTTGTTTTTTAAAAACTGTGCATCTTGATTAGAAGAAAATATGTTTAAAAATAGTGCCTAAAGGGTCATAATAAAATACAGCTAGGGAGAAAAGTGGATATATTACATAATTTATTAAACAATTATACAGTGTTTTGTAGAATTTTAAGAACAAATTGAAGCTTAAAGAGATTGTGGTTATAAATATGATTGCAGAAATAAAGGTCATTTAAATAATTGATTACATTTTCTTGATAATTTAGGTATGTATTTTTGAGAAGGTGTGCCTGATTCTATAACATCATCTAATTTTTAGAAATTTTAGGAGCACAAAAAGTGAAATATATGTGTGCATATTTATGTTTGCACACATGTATATACATGTATAACACATTTTCAGATGATCTAATAAAAGCAAAACAAGAATCTCTCAATATGTTGGCTAATTTTTATTCTGTCATGTGCCAATGAAGATAAGTCTGCTTAAAATCTGCTATCCAAATTAAACCACTAATTTATCATGGAGTTATTATGACTGTTTATACTTTAACATTTCATCATCTGGGCCAGCAGGTGGTATTGTGGCAAAGGTGTTGTACACCTACATGACTGACCATGTCGTGGCCATCCCACCTAAAGGGTGATTTCTCCCTTCCCTGCTTGCTGTCGCTCTCTCTCTTTTTTTTTTTTTGTCTCCGTCAGCCTATGGCAAAAATCTGAAAAGAAAAATTATCATCAATTAATATTTTACTATACAGGATACTCTATAACTCAATAAAGGTTTAGCAATTTTTTTTAAAAAAGAGATTTCTGCTTTAGGGTCCGTGTTCTTGCCAGAGACAGGGAAAAATCACACCCTGGGATGGATGGCCATGCCCCAATGCCCTCTCCTCCATTTTTTGTACTTTGCATTCTCTTTTAAAGTTATTGACTCATCTATGCAGTCATCATGATGAATGTCAGCTATATTTAGCACAGCCATAAATACAGTCATATTCAGTATATCAATATAAACTATGAGTTTGAAAGATATGTAGAATTGCAATGCACAAAAATGTAAAAGAAAAGTATTTAATAAAGGCAAGAATGCATACTGTCATCTCAAGGGTAATGTCTGAAAGTAATTAATTGAATATGACTAAGGAATTGATAAAGATTAAAATAAAATGAAAAAAAATATAGTTTATTGTCCCAAATGACATGAAGAAAGATAAAAAGTTGAAAAAGAGCTTAAACAGAAGAAAATATGATTAATATCTGCAATTATATTTAATGTACAAAAACTGAAAACTTTAAAATTTTTACCCTAAATTATAAAATGATATACTGGTTAAAATAGATTTTTTAATAAAAGGATAGAGAATAGAAAAAGGTATAGTATGAAAATAATAATAAAAAAATTCTACCTAGACTATTGGCAAATGTAATCAATATTTCTACAAGAGGCATTGATGTTGATAAAATGTCATATTTTATAAATTCATTATAAAATAATGTAAACTAAAAATGTACATGCAGCTACAATTCAACTGTAAAATAACACCACCCTAAAAATAAATATATGCCAACCACCATACATGCAAAATATGTAATAAAAATATTACTAATGTATAAATACATACAAATGCCTAAATACAGAAAGTCAATAGGTGGCTACAAAACTCTTCTCAGTAAATTATAAAAGAAAAATAAAAAGCCATTAAGGATTTTGAAGATCTCTCAAAAAAAGGCCTTCCTAACTGATTCTAATATATATGTGAAAGTATATAGTATGTATTTAATATATTCATACATAATATGTGATTTATATGTATTATATATTATATGTAATATGGATAATATATAAATCATGTATATAACATGCACAAATGTGTATAATTTATTATATATTATTTACTATAATATTTAAAATATATACTTTATAGCACATATATTTTACACTTTATCATATAATATATACATATACATTAATACATGAGATACATTATACTATATAGTACATATGCAACGTTATCAATATGACACAATTTGTGAGATTTCAAGTGACATGAAATTAGTTAATTGCATCATAAGCAGGATTTTATGGAATTGAGATTACTTTTAGTATATAATACAATAATAGCAGTGAATTTAGATTATAAATCAATAATATAATACTAGGTAGAATATTTTGTACCCCTTGGGGTAAAAAAATGTATTAATTAACTCATAGGTTAAAGTAAAAAGCGAATCTTAAAAAATGGATTTGTGGATATCTGAGTTAGTGGCCTACTTCTATCCAAATTTCTAACTTAATCTCTTAAAACCATTTCTCACCCATGAGAGAGCAAATGATCTCTAAAAACTCACATTATTGTTGAGTGTTGAGAAACAGGAAGCCTGATATATTGTTGATGGGAACTGATAAAATATATAGAGAAAACAAATTAGTAGCAGTTTACAAAAGATCTACAAGGCTTTACTTTTGATTCTACAGTTTCAGTTTAAGGAATTTACTTGCAAGTCTAAAATTCTAACCTTCTACATTATGAAAATTATGTCATAAAGATATATTATAAAAATATATATGCATGATAATATCTACTGATGCATTCATTGTTTTTTCTTTAAAGTTTGTTTATTTTATTTTATCCCCAGTAGGGTTTCGTGTTTTTTTTGGAGAGGTTTTTTGCTATAGGGCATGAGCGCTCACCAGAAAGAGACAGAATGTGAGAAATCATCCCCTAGGGGGGATGGCCATGCTGCAAACGCTTCTCCTCCATTCTCCTCTAGAAATTGTGGGCATGCTTGCACACATGCCTGGAGTAAGTTTAAGCCACCGGGTCTGGGACTTGAACTGTGGTCGAATATATGGGAGTCCAGTGACATAGCTATCACACCAACTGCTGGTCCCTCCCTGGTAGGGTTTCAACATCATAATACATCCTCAGCCTCAGCCATGCCTGGGTCATGGGCTGGCATGTGCCCAAGATGAGGACTCTGGGAGGTCTCTGGATGTGAACTTAGAACCTGCCCATGAGAGTCAGCCTCACATCATTACATTATACTGTTGTACTACTCTTCAGTCCTGGGTACATTTTTTTCTACATTCATTATAATTGAAACAAGCTATTAACCCACAGATAGGAGAGCAATAAAATAAACTATGGTAAATTCTTTCAAAGAAACACTGTTCATCTGTAAGTAAACTGATAGTCGAAATGTCTGTTAGGTGAATAAAATAAAAGAAAGCAAAGTATTTGTAATGTAACATGTTTACCTTGAAATCAATTGGTCTGTGATAGGCTATAATTTCCATCTTATTATGTTTTATAAACAATTAAAATATTCTTCTTGTTTTTGCTCCTAAATCATTAACTATGTGTCTGGAATTAAAAAAAATTAGCAATCAGATAATATGACAATGAATCCTCTTGAGACATAGTTAAAATATAAATTGTGTGTATAGTGTGTGTATTTACGTTTATAAAAAACACTTCCATAACACACAATTTGGTGATCTCTTAGGAAATGATGATCTTAGATCTCATTTCGCCTAAGAACTTTTTGGTTTTGTTAGATACTTTCCTGTAAGACATAGAAGGCATAAATTCTCCATGATTTCAAGAGATGATTACTTTTCATATTGCCCTGTGTTGTAATTAATAATCTGTTGAAGATAACATG